ATATATACATACATATATATATATATATATAGAGCTACACATATACGTACATTATATATATTTATACACACGTAGTTCCGAAATATGAATGCATACATTATCTTGCTTCGATGTCATACAAAGTATCTTAATTTGTTCCCTCTATTGCATTCATAATACATTTATACATGATGTGCATAAATATAGTAAATTCGGCATTAATGCACGCACATAGTGTACACTTAAATATATATATATAATTTTATATATATATATAATATGTATATATGTATATATATATACATACACATACCACATATATAATACAAGCAAAAGTATAAACACGTTATACAGATTCAGTTTGAAATTGTCCTAATCTTTATCAATGAGTTAAAAAGTTTATAGCATTATCGTTTCGTTATAAGACTAGCGTGTTTACATATTTGCTTGTCACTATATGTAAATACGCATCTATGTGTTTTGTATTTAAAGGACGCATGTACATTATTACATAAATGCTCAGTCTTTGTTTCTTTAAGAGCATAAATCTTCTTCCACATTATTTATGTTACATTTTTTGTCAGAAGATGTAAAAAAACAAGCACCGTTATTCTGTACCACTACAGGAAACGGTTCTTCTATCACTGATAATCGCTTTTCGCGATCTGTAGATGCTGTAGAATTATGGAAGAAGACATTTCTCAAAGTGGCGACATTAACCCGTTCCCATGACACATTGTCATCTGTCGAATCAGTCTTTGATTCATTATTGGAACTTCTGAAAAAGTTAAATTAATATTAACGTATCTAAAAATATTGTAACCATCAAAATTTGAAAACAATTTCATACTTTGTACTCTTTTGAGTATTTACGTCTTCTGTCTCTTTATTACGTTTACGTCTTCCAGAAGTTCGGCTATTCACTCCACATGTGCTGACAATTCCTTCCTGGTCCGCTTCGATAAAACTAACGTGATCGTCGAATCTGACACGTTCAGAACTTTCGTCCTCTCCACAAACGGTCCAATTACTGGAATCACTGCATTGACGATCTAATGTTGGTTTACGTCGAGCACGTTTCGCCAAACCAGGCGCTACCTCTTCAAGGGAACTCAAAGACGTAGCTTGACCTGCCGAGTCCATATGACCTCCTGCAACAGAACTTGTCCCTTGTTCCCCTTCCGTGCTTCTGCCACCGCTAATTGAACTTCCATCCATCTGAATAATTTGTATAATTGAAATTCATAAAATGAAATACCGATCGACTGCAATAATATTTTTAACGAAAAATAAGATACTTTGAAATTTAAAACGGAGCCTGCCAGAGCCCTAGTGGAAGCTGCACCATCATCCAAAGCAATAGATGCGTTTACAGATTTTTCTGATAAACTGGTTGCGGCAGATGCTGTTTCACTACACAAACTGAATCGTTGAGTAGACGTTACATCCGCTTGAACTTCCAATCTATTTTTAAATATAACAGTTGTATATGCGACTTCTTAACAATTGGGAATTATATACATACAGAAGATCTCTTACCTCTGTCCACCTGGTAAAACACTAGAGGCTATACTTCCTGCGAGACTGGTACCAGCAACAGCTACGTTGCTGGCACTTTCGCGATCATTTTCACGTCCTAATTTTTCCAAGTGGCTTCCACTACCTAACGAAAGGGAAGCCTCACCTATCGAAGGATTACCGCCGCGATGGCTCGCAACATCTATCGATGCTGCATCTACAAGAAAGATTATGTTTTTAATCGCATCTAATCTTTTCAATTATTCCGTCTACATCTGAAGACATTGAAATCTGAACGATTGATCCATTTACCTCCACCGTTGCGAACACTCAAAGAACCCATAAGCTCATTCTCGTCATCGAAATCGAATCGCACTCCCGTACCATTCGTAGAAACCCCACAACCTCCGCTTCGGCAAAGGGAAACGGGCACTACGCCATAAACATAAAATAATAAAATGGGTACACCGATCCCTACGGCCAATCCTGCTAATAAGGGTGATACCAAAACCTGTAACGATGATAAATAGATTATGAACAATGGCCCTCATTTGAACTTTTATTGGTCTTGTAGAGATTCAAATTTTACAGAGAAACGTGCAATTATTAAATCGAGGTTTTTTCTAAATAAAATTATAGAAATTAATTTATAATTCTAAATAAAATTATAGATATTAATCTATATATATATATATATATATATATAT